CCCTGTTTTTACTGAATAAAATAGTATATATTTTAATGTAATTTATTAATAAAAAAATCGAGTAATGAAGTGTCGAAGTTACCCTAATTTTCGTGGTCTACATTTGTAGATCATTGCTGATTGTAAACTTTTGTCCACCAAGTGTAGCTGTATTACGTACACATTTTACATTACCCCCTGTAAAAACTTTGCCTTCAAAGAAAATGACTAAATTAAGGTTCTACAGGGGATAGTATTTTGAAATATTTATGGTCCCAAGGATGTGGATTCATGACAAAAAGCCGGATTTTGTCGAATCTGGAAATTTGTTTACAGGGTTTCCTCATCATCATTTCTTTAGTGATCAGCATATATTGGCAAAGGGTGTCTCCTTAGAGACTTTCGGTATTATCAATTGTTTTCAAGTCTCTAATTTATATGATTAAGAATTAATATTTTGGATGGCACAAGTTATTTGCGGACGACTACAGTTATTTCTTTCTTCAACGAATAACTCACCGCCAGTCGCGATAACTATTTTTTCGATAGAGTAACATCTCGATATAATAACACCAAATCTCTTCCCCGATCACATTATTGTATCCAGCGCTCACTATATATTTTGGTAATTTTTGCTTTCGGTTGCATCTAAATACAACGATAATTTCTGATCTCTAAGAAACGATAACAATAAAATAAAGTCTTTGATTGAATGTTTTCTCGCACTTTTTTATTGATAAACAAAAAAATTTCCTTGCTCTATATACATATTATCTTTTGGGTGATTTAACTTAATGAGAACAAGCGAAAGATCAAGCTCAAACCGAAAACAGAAAGCCAAAATTGATCGACTTTCAGAAAAAGTCGTAGTGGTCTATGCTAGTTATGAAACAGGAATATTTTTTATAAATACTTGGAAGTTGATCTTAAACTCGTTATTTGAATCTCAGCATTAATACTTTCCAGCAACGAGGGCAGACCTCCTCTTTTAAACCTTCATGATTTCAGCAGCGAACAGCTGAGGTTTTTTTTTAATTTCACAAAATAATAACTGAAGATCCAGACAATTTGAGCATAAATCATGAAATCAGGCGATGAAGAGACATGTGAGCTTGGGAAAAGAGATTTATTTTATATAAAAATTTGAAGATTGATCTTTTCCTTTGAACATAGTTACTGATACCTTGTACTTTTAAATCTTAAAATAAAAATATCATAGTCTAGCAACCCAATTTCATAAGCATGACGCGACTGCCAAATAGTAAATTAGTCCAATTCGGACTTCGAGGGTTACTACCAAAAATCAATGCACCTTCAACCGCCTTTTTAAAGTCAAACGAAACTACCTTACGACTTCTCTCTACTAATACACGCTTACTGCTGTCTACTTCTAGTAGCTGTACTAGTAGTAGTTGGTGGTTTTCACGTCGTCCGTTTGGTAATGGTGATTCCGTGGCATGTTATAGTACCGGGGGGACAGGAAAAGATAATAAGGACCTGCCGTTTAAGACATATCGGTTTTATCCGGAACAAAGAGAAGACGCTGTTGAAAAGAAAAAAAGCGCAATAATTGTTTTGCAGGAATGGTGTGGTCTTTTTTTAACTCGTTTTTTTCGTGAAATAATACCGTGATTTATTATTAGAGAAATACTCTACTACAACTCTTTCTATTATATATAATCAGGTGGGGCTTTACTGAACAGATCAGATTACATGCGCAACGTATCACGGATGGCACGCGAGCCATCTCCATAGTTCCAGACATATATAACGGAAAACTTGGATTATCCCGTGAGGTATGTATGTATTTTTTAAATAGAAAAGGAAGAAGTGTAGTAATTGGCTATGTGTGTGATGGGATTTTGGGTCAAACAAAAAAAAATACGCGTTTTGATCAAGAAATTATGATGGTTTTGAATATCGAATATTTCTAGAAATTATTTTCTTTTGTAATTGTGATGATTTGCCTGTAGGAAGCTAGTCACTTGATGAATAATTTGGATTGGAAACAAGCTACTTTGGATTTATCCAAGTTAGTCGAGGCGTTAAGAAGGGAGAATTATACGTGAGTGATTTCTTCTACTTTTAATGTCAATACAAATCCATTTATTAGAAATACATCATCATTAATTTTTGCCTTGCCTTGTTACAAAAAAAATTTCAGACATATTGCGTCAATTGGATTTTGTATGGGCGGTAAGAGATCATTTCTGTGGATGGAGTAAATGCGCTGTGTTGTATTTTTTGTTTTTCCTGGTACCCTAAATTTACTTTAACGGTGATAATGATGATGCCGTATTAGGTGCACTTAATCTTGCACTTGCTGCACATTTATCTATAACACAAGCACCGCTGAGTGCTGTTATCACGTGTTATGGTGTTCCGCCACGGACTCTGTGCGATATATCAACAGTTGCTGTGAAAACGCCTGTACAGGTAATTACATGTGGACGTACGATAAGAGAGATATATTAACACAAGAGTTGATTCTTTCAAATAGAATAATTATTAAAATAATTTCATCAATCAGGGGCATTTTGGCAACGAGGATAAAACGACTGGATTCAGTGATCCTAATGCTGGTATTTGTATTTTTATTTTTCACTGTATTATTTATTCGCGTTTTAAAATATTTTTTCGCGTCCTCGTTTTCTCTCCTTATTACTTATTATTATTCAAATTTTTTTTTAGCAAATTCATTAGAGCGTCAACTCGGAGAAGGCATCGAACTACACACCACCAATGGCATCGGTCAACCTATCGAGATTTATCGATATGATGGAGAAGGACACGCGTTCCTAAACAACGAGTCATGGGCCAAAGAACGACGAAAGGAATTGGGATTTGTGGGTGGTGAAAATAAAGAGGTGCAGGATTTGGCATGGCATCGAATTTTCTCAATTTTAAATCGATATTTGGTATAGATTGATTATTAAGGCTAATGGAATTGATGATGTGTTGTATGTGATTGGATTGGCCTGTTTGTTGGTTGATCTTTTCGGGTGGAATGACGAGTATGTTAAAGATTTGAGTTTCGAGCAAGACATTTTTTGGTTTTGGCATTGTAGAGACAAAGGTATAGATCAGAAATTAGGTAGCCAAAATTGTTATATTACATAATCTAATAAATAAATAACGCGAACAACAGAGATCGACACAACAACAAAAACCATATTAAATTGTCATTTTCATTTCGATTTGAATACATTCATTCACTCTCTCTATCGTTGTATATATGGCATCTGAAGAAATAGAAATACAGCACCAAGAAGAACAACAGCAGCCAGAGCAACAAGTCATCGAAGCTCATGAGCTTCAGAGAATTAAACTTGGTTAGATGTTTTTGGAACTTTAATGAGGATACTTCTTGTAGTCGCAGTTTTGGAGTCAGAATTGACATTTACATATATATTCCAAATCACTCTTATTGATCTCTTTTGATATTAGGACAAAGATTACATGAGGCGAATGAGCAAATTCGAACTCTGAGAGAAGCTTATGTTATCTTGGGTATTCGAAATTACTTTGATTTGATTTTTCATTTTGTTAGAAATGTGAACTTAGTTTTTTTATTTTTTTTTAGAGGATAAATTAGAGACTACCATCAATACCAAAATACAAGCTGCAAATACTGAATTATCAGATAAGATTGGTCTGTTGGAAAGAGATTTGGCAGAAGCTAAAGTAAGTTTATGAGTTAATTGGATTTATATAAGCAGAATCTATGCATATATAAATTACAATAAATAAATTGTATTAAATAAAAAAGGATGAAGTCGAACTATACAAGGCAAAATTTTCCGATGCACACGAAAAAGCACAATCTCTTGAGCACTCGCTAACCGCGGAACAGCGCGCTCGTGAAGAAGAAAAGATTCGGTATGAAAGCGAGAAACGTGAATACGAATCACTGAAAAATATGTATGAGCAGGAAAAGAATACGACTGGTGATGTGCATACAAAGTATGAGTCGGAGAAATTACGACTTGATGACCAAGTTCGTCGGTTGGAGAGTGAACATAGCGGTTTGGTAATTATTGATGTTTATAATGACATTATTTAGAATTTTTCGTGTTAACGTTGTATCAATTTTTTTTGATTTGAAAATTGAAATTTAGCAAAATACCATGAATGAGCTCCGAGCACAAATGCTTGCTGTGGAACGTGAACGCGATCTAGCAAACTCTCAGGTTCACAACTACAAAATACAATACGAACGAGCCCTCAACGAGAAACTCACTGCCGACCGCCGCTCACAACTAGAACTCGAAAAACTGCGCAACGACTACAATTTTCTCCAGAAAGAAAGCGCCATGTACCAACGCAAACACCAAAACGACCAAATGAATCTCGAGCAACTCGCTCGCTCCGAAGAAGAACTAAAGAATCTGCTCGAGCAGCACAAACAACAACTCGGCATGATGGAACAACTATTGTCCGAAAAAGAGTCACAGTGCAGTCAGCAAGAGGGACGGATCATGGAATTGTCGCGAAATTTGGAGGAGGCTGAAAAACTTGCGGCGGTTGCGATTGATTCGCCGAATGCAGCTGGGATGATTGTGTTGGGAAATCATGGAAAGTCGTTGCCAGATATGATGAGAGAGCATCGGTCGATGTCGATCGAGTTGATTGAAACTAGAGCTAAATTGAGGAATATTGAGAATGAGAATCGGAGGATTGAAGATTCTATGAAGAAAATGGTTAAGGAAATTCTTCAGACTGTATGTATATTATTTGGGAAAATCGCATTTGATATGACAGTTATGATGTCACGGAATTTTTTATATTGATAGGCACCGATTCTCAAGTCGCGAAATGAAGATTCTAAGCGTAAATCACAAGAAATTGACAATCTTCTGCGCGAATTAAAAATCAAAGAGGATCTGTTGATACAGAACTCAAATGAGGTAAAAAGATTCATCAATTTTTATTGCAATCTCATCGATGTCATATTTACCTTGATATTTAATTTTGTCAATAGCTACAAACTCTCAAGGCCCAATACAAGTCTCTTACAACAGACTATTCCAAATTGCAAAATGGTAAAACCCATAATAAACTTTTATTTATCAAAAAAAAAAAAAAGGAAACACATCTAACAAACCACTTAAAATGTAAAAAATATATATATAGAAAAAGAAATTTTGTCACGCCACAATACATACTTTGTGCAAGAACTCGAAAGCCGACCCTCAGTAGGTATTCACACACCTGTCTACACATCTCGCGAGAACGATATCGGGTTCCGAAATCTCGAGGAAATGTACACGCAAAATGTGTCAATGACTTCAGAAATTAATGGGTTGTCGCGACAACTACAAGAGCTTTCGGAGAAAACTAAAGATTTGGAAAGCTTTGCTGCGGAGAATATCCGATTGCGTTCAGAGATTGATGTTTTGAGGATTCGGCTCAAGGTGGTGCCTGAACAGACTCCTGGTGGTGGTGCTGGTACTTCGGCTACGCCGAATATTACTCCGAATGTGGGTTCTGTTCCTAATAATCAGGAAGCAGCTTATTATAAGAAGGAGGCTGAGTCGCTTCAAGTAAGAATTATAAAATGACCTTACTGGCGAAAAAAATTCTTTTTGATTTTGCAATAATTTAAAAATTTATTATAAGGCAAGAGTGAACGAGCTTATGTCAGCTAGGGAAGAGCTTAGCAACGATTGTAAAGAACTGAGACAAGAGTTGAATGAAGCTAAATCAATAAGTAGCAAATATCAAGTGGCTCAACATCAGCTTGAAGGTATTAGAATTTGCAATTTCCTCGTTTATTTGTATTTTCTAATAGGTAACATTTATGCATTTTTTTATATAATTAAAGTTTATCAACAATGGTTGGATTCTGAACGAGAGCGAGGCAAGAAACAAGAAGACGAGCATAATAAAATGCTTGAGCTTCGGTATACGGAAATACGTGACTTGCGTGGTCAATTGCATGCTCTTCAAGAAGAATTGAATCCTATCAAAATGGATTTGCGACAGGTAAATTATTAATTAAATCCGTGTAAATCTTTTAAATACAAAATCATCTTGTCGCTCTTTTCCAAATTCAAATAATAATTATAATTTGTTACTACATAAAAAATAGCGAAACGCAAGCTACACCGACCTAATGGAAACCCACCACAACCTTCAAAAACAGAACCAACAAATGATTTCAAACTGGCAAAAAGAAATCGAGACCGTTAAGTCCAAAGAAAAAGAAGTCACGCAATTGTCCACGGAAAAGAATCAAACACTCCAAGAACTACAACAGTACAAATCCTCTGCTGAAAAGTTGAATGAGGAGTTGAATGCGACCGTGAATCAACTTAAAGAGTCTTCTGCGGAACGTGACAAGTATAGTGAGCAGATACGAGTTCTTGAGAAGCAGTTGGAAGAGTCGCGTGCGGCGCATGATAAGTTGACGACGCAGGTTGAAGCGCAGAGTGGTGATTTGAGTAAGATGAAGACCCAATTAGAGTCGTACGAGTCTGCTGATACTCATTTGACTATTTCACAATTACGGTATTTGTTTATTTTTTTTATCTTAAACATGGTATATGTGCAAAATTATTTTTATTAATTTAATTTATTGTGGTTAGTGAGAGTTTGACAGACGCACGTAATCAATGTCATCGATTACAAGATCAGATTGACTTCCTCGAGAAATTCAGTCAAGATTCTCAACGTGCAGTAGAAGAGTTGGACAAATTCAATCAAGAATTACAAGAAAAATTCGATGTAGGTTTTTATATCTCTAATTTGCTCTCCAAGATCAAACTATATAAATCCATTTACTAACATTTGATTATAATCCTATACAGCAAACATCAAAAGAACTTCCAGATTTAAAATCGCAACTCGAAAAATCCACCAACGACTTACAGCTTAAACATTCCGAGCTCGAGAGTCTCATCGCAGAACTGGCTACCGTGCGTGAAGAATCCCAATTCACCATCAACAATTTAAAGACCAACGAAGAATATCTCTTGAAACAGGTGGAACAGAATAACAAAGAATTGGTGGAGGCCAAGAAACGATACGATAGTCAAGTTTTAGATCTGGCGGATACGTTGCGTAAGTTGAATGATATAGAGCAGAGTTGTAATAAATTGCGAAGTGAGAATGAAAATTTGAATGTATGTATGATTAGATGTAGAATTTTTTTGTGGTTATCTAAGACAATATATATTTATACTCTATTTCACATAAATAGTCTCAGATCGAGTCATCGCAAGCTACGTTTGCTCATGAAAAGAAAGTGCTTGAGGATGAATTACGTCAATTGTCTGAAAAGTATGTATATTGCTATTGCTACTATCACTACTACGTTAACATTGGCATGCGATTTAAATTAACGTATACGTTTTTACATTTAATAGATGCTCTAAACTCCAAGAAGTTAACGAATTGTACCAGAGACAAATAGAGAGCAATGCACCCGCCGAATCACAGCTAGCGATTCAAGGTCTACGCAGGCAATTAGAAGACTTATTGCGCGAAAGCAACGACTTTAAACTCCAAAACCAATCGTTCAAACGAGAATTGGAAGAAGCTCAGAAACTAATCAATAACTGGAAGCGCTTATACGAAGAAGAACACCAAAAATTACAAACCTCCAAGTACGGAACCGACCTCGCCGAGAAACAAATACAACTTGACCAATCGAACGTGCACAATAGACTCTTGTTTGAAGAAAACCAACGATTAACAAAGAATCTCAAAGAACTGGAAACACGGTTGGAGCAAGCGTTATCTGATTCTCGGGAATACGCGAGCAAGGTCACCACTCTTGAAGCTGAAAAACAAAATCTCGAAGAACGATGTCGGCGCACACAAAAAAGCTTGGAAACTGAACAGCAACGATATACCGCAATATTGGCCAGTCGTGCAGATATTACACCGGCAGAAGTTGAAAAGTTGAGGAAAACCGAAGAAACTGTGAAAGGACAATTGAAAAGTGTGACTGAACAGCATAAAAAGGAGTTGTTAACTCTCAAAAGACAGATTCTACAAAAACAAGCTGAGGTATATAAAAGTGGTATCATTATTTTTAATATGTATGTACTATTAATATTGTTAACTGATTATATATATATATTGTTATTTTTACATAGTTTGAAAATCTTAAAAAGGAACTTGAAAAAATAAAACAAGAAAAAGAAGCCGAAAAGAACAAAGCTCTCGCGGAAAGTCAAGCAAAGAAAAAAGCCGAAGAATCACGCGAGGCACTTAAAAAGAGAGCTCAAACTACAATTAGTGCGCATAAAAACGAAATAACCAGTTTAAAGGCTCAAAATGAGACTCTCAAGAACGAGAACACGACACTTAAACAAGACAGTGAAAGTAAGAAGCAAGAATTTGAGAACCTGAAACAAGAAAAGGACAAGTTGGTCAAAGACTTGTCAGATGCTACGACCACGAATTTGAGACATAACGTACTTAAATCGGAACTTGAAAAAAAGAAAGAGATTATTAAAAGACTTCAGATTGAGTTGACTCAATTGAAGTCTAAACCTGCTCAGCAGACACCACCAACTCAACAACAGTCAACATCGTCACCTGTTGTCGCCGCGACAACTGCTCAACACGCACAAATTCCCGTCATACCGTCAATTCAACAGGAACCTGTTGTACCTCAAAAAAGCACGGATCAAATCGCTGCTACGGGCAATACTAACAATACTACAACTGCAACTGCAACTACCACTAATAACAACAACAATAATAATAATAATAACAACAACAATAATAATAACAATAACAATAACAATAGCACTAATAATAACAATAACAATAGTAATAGCAATAGCAATAGTAGTAATAATAATAACACTAATAATCAATCTGTTGTGCATCCTCCAATTACGAGTGCTGCCAATCAAACGCCTGCTATTGCACCTGCTACTCTTACACATCAAGTGAATGTTTCTCCGGCTCCTTCTCAAGTAGTGTCAACTCCATCAGAACTTATCTCCATCCCATCCCCTCAGCCATCTGAGAAAATTCCAGCCAATGTTACAATTCAGAGAGGAGAGAAACGACCTGGACCCGTAAAATTGAATAGATCTCGAGTTATCCAGTTACCGACGATACCTCATGACAATACAAACCAGGGTCAATCGTCATCTACTGCACCGACCTCACAAACAACAACAAATACCGTTGAATCAACTTCCACAGCAATTCCAGAGCACGAGCCCGTTCCCATAGCAGTATCAAGTCCAATGCCATCTCATAATATTCAGGAACCTGCTACTACCCCCGCAGAGTCAACACAAGCTGAAACTTCGGAAAACACTGAAACAACGGACCGTAAACGACGGCGATCAATAGATGATGATGGTCGTGCTAATGTAGAAGCTTCGCACAATTTACAGCAATCAGGAACAACAGGTAAAGATAATTTCTAATTTTTGAAACTTGGAATTGTTAATCTAAATTTATTTTTATTCAAACAGAAAATACCGAGGGAACTACATCTGAAAGTGCAGCTGCAACCACCACCACAACAGGAGCAGCTACCATACAGGAACAACAACCCGAAGCTGAATCAAATACAACTGATGATTCAGCACCGCCAGTGAAAAGGATGAAAGTCGAGGGAAATCAAAATGAATAATTTAGTAAAAACGGAATAAATATTGCAATTGGTTATATCTATAGCGTCGGTTGTTCGTGATCTTTGTCTTCTTTTTTTTTACAAACTACGCTTGTTAAAATGCAAAACGTGTTTCCAAAAAATTAAAACGTTGTGGCTACAATCATCGTTGGCATCTCTTTTAACTCTTCAGATTCATTGGTTGAAGTTTTTTATTAATAACAGAGAGTGATCAACGATTTTTTTAGTTGGGCTGCTTGAATCCGATTGGGCATACTGTCGAATGTGCATTTTATAAATCGTTCGGTGACTTGATCACCCTCTATCGAAATTGTTCTTTGCTATTTACTCACATACACTTAGAAAAAGAATAAAAATTTGATGATGTTACCAATGATATGGTGGTGATTAGGAAAATAATCGATAATCTAATTAATATAATATCGAATTGATTTTAGGCAAATCAATGACCCAACTATATATCGATATAAATAGAATGATGAGAGTGAAAGCTATGCTAAAAAAAATAAGAATTATGATCACAAATGTTACCTTCTGACACTATCTATCGCTATATGTTTCTTTTACTGAATTAATCACAAAAAATAATTTTATTATTTTTACACCTGTAAAAGATAATTCTCGTCACAATTTCTTTGACTTCAGACTCAGGAAAATTCTATTTATTTTTGTGCATATAAAAATAAAAACAATAATATACTTTGAAATTCAAGTTTAGCTGATTACTAAAAATATTTAATTTCCCTTTTCTTGGTATTTTATCAGAGAGAAAGTAACATTGTTTTTTATACATAAATTTCTATTCTTTACTATTTTGATTTTCGTTCTGGACGTAAACCACGCACAGTCTTTCCGGTGGTCCAAATTTCGCTGTCCCTAAAAAAATCAAATTATATCATAAATTTCATACAATACTCTATAATATACTAATAAAAAAAACCTTACTGAATTTCTTTTAATTCGACTTCTAACTCTTCACGATACGTAGGCGAAGAATTCTTGTCCAGAGATCGCTTCGTCTCGGTTCCATCTGCTACTTTTTTATATAGCTCTTCAAAGACAGGTTTAGTGGCCTTGTAAAATGGTTTGTACCAGTCGAGAGCTCCACGTTGTGCAGTGGTCGAACAACATGAATACATCCTATCAATGTCATTATAATGTTACGAGTTCACTATGTATGGTAAACATAATATCAATCGACTTACCAGTCCATCCCATTTTCACCAATTAAAGGATACAGTGATTGAGTTGCTTCTTCCACAGTTTCATTAAAAGCTTCCGAGGGAGAATGTCCATTAGCGCGCAAAGTTTCATATTGGGCAAGGAACAAGCCTTGGATTGCACCCATGAGAACACCACGCTCGCCGACCAGATCCGAGAAAACTTCTCTTTGGAAGGTGGTCTCGTAGAGATATCCTGATCCAATGGCCACTCCTAATGCAACAGCTTTGTCTTTTGCTTTGCCAGAAACGTCTTGGAATACGGCAACAGAAGAGTTGATTCCTTTGCCTTCAAGGAAAAGAGAACGGACGGTTCTTCCAGATCTGAATAGTAGAGTCGTCAATCAATAACAAAACAAGTAACAAATATGTTCGAATGCGAGATATTAACTCACCCTTTAGGTGCTACCATGATGACATCAATGTCCTCTGGTGGAATAACACCGGTAAGGTCCTTATATACCACCGAAAATCCATGAGAAAAGTACAATGTTTTGCCTTTCGTCAGATAAGGTTTCATCTCGGACCATAATTGTTTCTGGGCCGCGTCTGATAGTAAATTCAATACAATTGTGCCTTTTTCGATAGCTTCATTTATGCTAAACAGATTTTTACCGGGTTCCTGGTTTGCATAATCACAATTGTAAAATAGTTAGAAAGAAAATACGAGGAAATTAATTCACATATCAATGTATATTTACCCAGCCATCTTGCACAGCTTCCTTCCAACTACGTCCATCCTTTCGTAACCCAACAATCACGTTCAATCCATTATCTCTTGCATTCAATGATTGACCACTACCTTGTGGCCCATATCCAATAATAGCAATGGTATCGTTCTTGAAGAATTCCTGATATTTTTCTTTCGGCCAGTCAGAACGTTCGTAAACAATTTCTTTTGTGCCGCCAAAATTGAGTGTTTTGACAGTACGAACTTGAGAGTGGCCGAGTGATAGTGTAGACGAAGAGACGTCAAATGAGTTTTTTAGCTGTTAAGTGATAAAATGACGCGTACAGCAGCATATATAATAAATGAGAAAAGATTATAGGCAGAAGGGTTTTAATGGCTCAATATGTCCTCTTCGTATATGTAGACGAGTCTTGGACATCATTAACAAACTACCTGTGCGACAACACCACCTTTTAACACTTGGTTTTTGTATACGTTGATACACGATGAGGGTCTTTTAACGTAACTAGAAAAAGATTTTGTTGAGATAAGAGAATTGGGTGCAAGACGAAACCGACTCGAATTTTTCAAGTCTGCTAAAGCTGATGAAAGGAGTGTAAACCGAGAATTCATGTTTTGTTTGCGACTGCTAAAATTTTATTCTTAATCTATATATTCGTGTAGATTTTTTGAATCAACGAGTCAAATCTTGTCATAATGAATAATTTGATGTGTCAAATCATGTACATGAATTTTTTTAACGTTCCAATTAGAAAATTAAAAATTGGTTCAGAACTGTACGTATTGAAAAAAACCACATTAACCATGGTTGCCAAAGAAAAAGAGTTTGAGATCACAGTTTTAAAAGAATTAAAGAGATGAAATATTGAATGTTACAGTGTGTGGTGAGACATTCATTTATTTTACTAAGCAGTTATTTAGTTGTTATGCATCCAAAGTTATATTGCTACTAGAATAATATGATAGCAAAGAACTGAAAGCACATCATGACCACTGTGAGTGGTTATTGGTTGAGTAATCATGCCTATGAATGTTCTTTTTTATTTTATCATCCAAAAGCTTTATATAAAAGTTATATACATAAATAAGTAACAATATTTGATTTGATTTTAGTCCAACATAAAAATTATTTAACTATAAAAGTTGATGTTAGTGAAATCAATACTTTTAAAAAGGTAATATCAAAATATTCAAGAGATCAAATTTTTGTAATCTTAGTTAAGAATAATTATTCATTGAATATTATAGATAAAGCAAAATCATCAAATTATAATTTGTTGTTTACAAATATATTATATATATGTGATGATATTTTTAAATATTTATTCAAAAAAGATAAGAAAATAAAAGAATTAATAATAATGATTGAGAAACAAGAAAATAATGATTAAGAATAAAAATAATGTGATAACTGTTGCAATGTAATAACAAATAAAACATCATCTAGTTACAACTTAATAATCTAGCTATGACAAAAAAAGATATTAGATCATGTGATTTAAAATAGGTTCATTAAAATATCTAATTAATACTAGATATTGTCACCGATTCAATATCGTCAATAATTTAATATAAAAACACGTAAATAGAAGACGTAGTTATGATAAAAATTAGTCATAATGATATTTGGATTATGTAGTTAGTTCGATAATATTCTACTTCTTTCTATTTCTTTTTATTTTCTTTTTGTATTACTTATCTTTCTATATTTATTTCATTGGTATCTTTATTTGAATATATTAATCACATCATTTTCTTGGCAAATTTCATCATTTTCTATATTAGTTTAGCTTTTATTTTCTATTTTTGCTATTGGTATTTAGATGTAAAACAAGATTATTAATTATAATATAGTTAAATTTCATGTAATTTAGAAGAGAACCAATAATTTCATATTATTAGTATAGATCTATTATGTCACATATTGCACTACAACTGTGTTATGCTGCACCATATTGCGCATTACTGTATCATACTGTATCATTGTAACAAAAAACATGTATAAATACAAGTGCTGATAATTAATAAAAATTAAGTTTTTTTAGTTGAGTTTAAGTTTTTTTAGTTGAGTTTAAGTTTTTTTGGTTTAATTTAAGTTCTCTAGTTCATATTTGAAGTTTCTTTTGGTTTAATATCGAGTTTGACATGTTTAATTGATTTTATTTTGGAATTTTAAGTAGTATTTGGTTAAGTTTATCTTTAATTTAGTCTTATTATTAGTTTAGTCTTATCTTCGTCACCTTTTATCTTATCAAAAAATATCATTTTATTGTCATAAATATCATTCAGTTATAAAATTCAAAGTAAATTGCCGTGAACACAATATTAAGTATTAGAATTAAGATTAGATTTGAGATCAAGCTTATATATAAAATTGGCTTTTCAATATTTTTGATAGTATTAAGCTAGATTTAGATATTTGTTTTTTGTATTTTTCACATTTGCTGAATTGATTACATTTTTATTGATTGCGCATTCTTATTGGTTGGATTTGTTTACTATCACGTGATTTGACATTTTTTTGCCATGGCTAGGATACTAGTTGCAGTTTATAAAATTTTTGTGTTGTAATGAATGACAAATAAGCATCACATACTTGTGGATTGTCAAAATAGATTACTTATTATAACAATTTTTTTAATTATAGTTATACTAATAAAATAAACTATTATTTATATCTCTTAGCCACATCATCGTTTGTGACATGGTGACATGTAAACTTAATGTTAAAATAATCTGCATTATATTTGATGACGAAAAACTTTACCCTTAAAAAAGAAACATTTTTGCATCGATGAACAGTTTTTGTTGATAATTTAGCTATCACATTTTCTTTTTAAAATAATAAAATCAACCTAATTTTTATACTTTTGAATCTATTAAACAACTATATGAGTTGAATCGTATATTTTATTGTTTTTAATATTTATAAATTGCTTTCAAAATGATTATTGAATTCTGAGTGCGATAGAAACAGTGTAAATTGTATTATAAATTCTAATACAATTTACACTGTTTCTATCGCACTCAACTCATACATTAATAATTTCAGAAAATTATAATTATACAAATTTACCATTTACAAGTTTATCGTTAGCGTTAGAATGCAGATATACCAGTTAAACTATTTCAGTGAACGCATTGGTCAATGTTGGTGTCACGTGAAAGCGGACATTAGCTTTAGTAACGCTACAAACTTCTATCCAAAAAAGGTTGAATGAACTTCTCGAAAAATAACTGTCGATTTAACGTGATAATTTAAAAATGGAAGCAAACAAGAGTCTACTCGACGAGATTTTCGCCCCCGATACAACAAATAATAACAATAATGACCATATTCAGGTCTCTTCTTCCTCTTCATCTGCTTCAACCTCACGGCCAACCACAGAAAATGAGAGTAGACTGAGGAACGGCCGGTCAAAATCTACTCGCCTTCAAATTCCAGCAGGTATGTATACGCGAAAAGAGATAAATTTCACACATACACTTACAAGCCTGTCTTTAAATATATGCGTATAAAAATATGTATATAAATATTGATTTTTTTTATTATCATACAAATCAAGAAGACAATGAACTCTCTCCAACGATTATATCAAGCATTCCAAATCTTTCACCGGAGAACTTTGGAAACGAAGAGTCTTCTGACGAAAATTCGGACCTTTCGGACGACGAAAGCGAATCAAGCTCTCCAACGGTACAAATTTCACTCTGATTAAGCAAGAGTTTTAAACTCGGAAAAAGATTAATTTTTCTATTTCTCCGAATTAGAATAATTACGGATTAAACTCATTATCAATAGCCTCTCCACCTAACGGCTCATCTTCAAGAATGGCTTCATCGATACTAGAACAACCAATTGCACCGGCTGAACAGATGCGAGCTATCGTGGTGAATCGTCCCACTGCGCAAATGATTGAAAATTTTCGGTTACCAAATCCTAGCGAGTCGATGAAAGATGAAGAAATCTTGGATTTCGTAATGAAGTGAATATACGATATTTGTTTTTTTTTTTTCGCGTGGATGCTAGTAATCATTGCTAATAATTTAATGAATTGAAATATTGCAATTAGACCAGTTCCACAAGGTCAAAAAGTTCTTTGCAAAATAACGCGTATCAAAGATGGATTCGGGAAATTTTACCCACAATATGAACTCTTTGTTGAAGACCTAACGGATCAGACTCGAACATTTATGCTTGCAGCACGAAAACGAAAAAAAAGTAAAAGTTCTCATTATGTTATTACTACAGATAGACTTAGCGCCTCAAATACAATAAAACATATTATCGGTAAAGTTAGGTAAATAATTGACGATAAACACGTAACTCGCGAAATACTTTTATCAAAGATGTTTGAAATTAACCGAATTAAATTAAATTAATATAGATCCAATTTTTTGGGAACTGCATTTACCATCTACTCGCATGGCAGAAACCCATTCAAACGTGAACAAAATGTACCAGATATTCCCCTTCGCGAAGAACTGGGTGCGGTGGTCTATGTAAGAACATATCCAAAGCTACTAAAAAATAGTTTCATATACTTATTATCTATTTTGCAAAAAGATTAGTGATCTGTTACACAAAATAAATAATACTAGGATCCGAATATTTTGGGATTTAAAGGTCCACGTAAGATGACAGTATTGCTAACAGGAATGACAAAAACTGGAGAACGGCCGGAATTTCGTCCAAAGACGGTAATAATAACAATTATTATTATTTATTTGTTTTCACTTTTTAACTTTATGAACAAATTTTGATGCTGCTGCTATTTAATAAATATAGGAAGAGGAAACGCTTATTGGAAAGTTTAAAAGTGGAAGTCACCGTGACATTTTAGTACTACATAATAAATCACCTCAATGGAATGAGGGTAAAAATTATTTTTATTGATGTGATTATAATAAGCATGAATATCATTTGAAATCTAATATAATTTCACCTTTATTAGAAACTCAATCATATGTCTTAAATTTTAGCGGACGTGTAACTTTGGCTTCTGTTAAAAATTTCCAGATTGTGCATGATAACGATTGTAAGTAGTTTTATTATATTTGGTTGTGTAGGTCCTTTTCTACGAATAAAAAAACCTAAATCTTTTTTATGTTGTATTGTTCTCTCTAGTGGATTATATCATAATGCAATTCGGTCGAGTCTCTGATGACACATTTACCATGGACTTTATGTACCCTATGTGTCTGTTACAAGCTTTCGCGATTGCATTAAGCAGCTTTGATGCAAAACTCGCCTGTGAATAAATGAATTAATTGATGGATAAATATAATTATATAGTGAATATTTCAAGTGATGGAAATTTGCTCTGCTTTAAGAATTGTATGGTTAGATATTTTTAATTTGTTACCTAGTAAATCTCATCGATTATTCAGATGAACCAATCAAAATCAATAGACAGTAGAACAACAACTACTTGGAATCTTTATTTGTAGAATGTTTTCTTTTAAATTTTGTGATTCGTAAGTGTAACAATTTATTACTTAGGGGATGGAGTAAATCAAGTAGTATTTGTCACCAGCAATAAATGTGGTGGATCATTTGGCCAGAATTATCGACGGTTTCTTATAATATTTTGCAATAATGTTTATATTGCTAAATACCATATATAAATTTATTATTAGAATAGCGATAGATATTGCAAATTTTCACCATAATCCGTTTTTCATCATGATCCCCCACAATAAATTTGATGAAGGAGAAATTAATATGCAAGAAATTCTCTTTTGATAATTTTATTACTTGTGTTACTTTAGTTGATTGGATTTTGTTGATGTATTAACCAATTCCATCTGGAGATGAGAAGTTCTCAATTATTGAGTACATACAGTGGTATGCAACCTTTCTATCCAATTGTTTGCCGTAAATTAATATTCTCTTATTTTTGGAAGCAATGATGAGCCACATTATTAGTTAATATTTGTTCAAATAGGGATTGTCTAGAATCAAAGTTTTTTCATGTTCTTCTCCTTCCATTTCAACCTTCCATATCTCTTCAATCTCCGATCGTCTCTCGATGTCGATCGACGGCTGATTCAACCAAGACGATAGCAACACCATTCCTTCTTCTCGGACTTTAATTTTCGACAATAATTCTTCTTTCACAATTCGATGTTTGAATTTTATTTCTCGAGCGTACATTGTTAGAATTTCTTTTACATGATTCACTAATTGAATTGAAATCAAGATTATTCCGTTAATGACATAAGTTTGTTTTCTCGCATAATGTTTCTTGGAATCAAAAGAAAGTACAATACGATACAATATCGATCAAGCGAACACGTCAAAAACACCGGTGTACTCGTACAAAAATCTGGTCCAAGCGTGTTACACGCTTCGACGTAGAGCATTTCTACTTGTGATACGGATCGGTGTAATTTATTGAGACAGTGAGTTTCCTTTTTTTGGAAAAAGGGAATGAAAATCGTGTTCTATCTCCCTTGACAAACGTTCAAAACAACCAAATTCTACCATTTTATCGAATATTCGAACGAACATTTGTGCCAGTTCCGATATTTGATCATTTAGTTTTTCGCTATACCGCTGTTTTAGGTCGGGAAATTTTGATGTGGTTGTAACGGAGAAGGGAGAAAGTTCTGATGGCCAGAGCTCTGGATGATCAACATATCTATTTGATTAACCCAATTGGTTTGGCTTCAATTAAATACGTAGACCTAAATGACATTTGATGACGAAATGATGATTGATATATATATATGATAAATGTACCGTTCTTTAAGTCTCGTATTAACCAACGAATTCGCCACAGTAAAACAATCATTGTTCAGATCATCCCAAATTTGAAAAGCCTTTACGATTTCATTCAATAAAGGCTTAAGTCTTCTTTTTACAGTGGACGGCTGCACCATTTATTTGATTACCCCTTTTTTTTTAATGAACAAATGATCACACATGGTTATTATTCTGGTGTGGAGGATTTCAATCTGCATAAGATCACATTTGATTACATCATCATAGGTTGCATAAATTGCACAAACCTGATTGGTAACGGGCTTAGTCAATTTCGTTTATTATATTTCAAACTTCATTTCTTCGTCCCGTATTTTTATATTTTTTATTCAATTTTATCAATAATAAACATTAAAATAAAAGAAATGGCAGACCAAACTGCACACTCTGTTGTCGACCCAAACACCGTTCCTGTTACACCCAACGTCTCTAGCTCGAACGCGGCCGCGTCCTCAGCTACCCACCTTAGTGGACAACATGCACAACAGCTTCAGGCACAAAATCAACAGTTTTCTAGTCAGGTTGGTGATTTTTATACAGTTTTCAAACAATGATTGATTGGCTTTATCCACTATATTTTACACGTAAAATTAATGCCGTTTGTTTCTCATTGTGTGCCCGTTGTTCTCCTACCTGTGTAGTTCTGGAATCAACAATTAATTACAGCACAAAACTTTGAAAGTGATTTCAAAAATCATCCGTTACCACTTGCTAGAATCAAGAAAGTCATGAAAAGTGATCAGGATGTTAAGGTACTGATAATTAGTGATAGAAAAATGTTTTTTATTCGCAAAGAACGACGTATTTATTATTCCCTTTATGATGCATAATTATTTCACATCGCATTTCTACACGACATGTACAGATGATCAGTGCCGAAGCCCCGATCCTCTTTTCAAAAGCTTGCGAGATCTTTATATCCGAGATTACAATGCGAGCATGGATCCACGCCGAAGAGAATAAACGCCGCACACTACAACGCAGTGATGTTGCGTCAGCCGTTAGTAGATCAGATCAGTTTGACTTTCTCATTGATATTGTACCACGTGAGGAGGTTTCAAAAGTCGCACGAAGACCAAAGGAGGAAACTGTATGTCCTTTTCTTTTCATCTATTGTATATCCATTGAATCCATTTGATAATAATGACGTGTTAATTCGTTTATTAGCAACAGCCGGAACAGATGTACGATCAGAATGTACTTGCATACTATCAAGGGCCTGCGGGAGTGCAATATCCAGCCGTTTCGGATCCTTCCTCTTATTACCCGGTAGCTCTTTCTTTTCGTCCTTTATAAGATATTATTTATTTAATAATAATAATAATATTCACAAAGAAAACAAAAATAAAGATAAAAAAATTTTGATGCACCATATCTAGAATGTAGCATAAATCACACACTCTTTTATTATTATTTCATTGTTGTTATTTTCATATTATATTGTAATTACTATCATCGTCCCGGCTATATTACCACTAATCGATAATAATAAGCGCTGATCTGTCGCATCTAGTCGCGTGATCTAGAACAACTACCTCAACATCAACGACAACAACACCACCACCAGGAACAATTATATCAAAATCATCTAGAATTTTAATCGAAAGAAATAACTATCATCACAACACCATCATCAGAGAATGAGCAAACACAATTTTTACACCTGTCAGAATCTATTGAAAATCATTCACGAGATCCTACCACGACGTTTTCATCTTCTCCTGTTTGTTCATCACCTATGACTGCACACCAAATGTTTCAACAAATAATTACACAACCATCTTCAAATTCGGTAGCAGATTTACCGTCGAGCTCAATTTTTAATTTGCAACAGCAACAAAATCATCATCAACGACGACGACGACGACGATGATCAGTTAATTCCGAAAAAGAATTTTGTCTGAAGATGATGATTCTAGTCATTTGGCGGTTCGATCGACCAAGAAAACTTTTACACAAAATCCTCATTAATTAATTCATTTTCTGTCATCAATAATTATAAAACTTGATACTTAATACTTAATAATAGAGATGTTAATAAATAGTGATACATAATAATTTTTACAATAATATCGATATTATTTGTCTAAATTAATCATGCGTGTAACAAATGATAGGTATTAATTATTAACGTTAATAAATTGTGCTTGTTTTGGTGATTGATTCACATTGATGTTGATCTTCGAATTATGCTCTTGTTTATTCAAAGCATTTCCTTTTATTTGCACCCAAAAATACTGAATGACTATTATCATCAGTTTCTTCAAGTTCTTTCTTGATATAATCTAAAAAATTTCTCACAATTTTCATGTCGAGGTCATGATAGTAATCGAGTTTCAAGATAGCTTTCGGGTCAAGATCCAGTACCACGATTTTATATTTATAATTCTGGTGTTGTTCTTGATTACTGTTATTATTATCATGCTTGTTGGTGTTTGATGAGAATGGAATTGAAATATGTTTGACTCGTTCTGGAAAAAGCGTGATTGTTTTATTATTATTATTATTATTATTTGAATATTTTACTAATGCTGGAGATGGTGATGATGTTTGAAAAGTAAAAATAATTGAACAATCTTTTAAAGTGGTCGAGAAAAGGAATTCTAGAATTCGTTGCTTGATCTCTGCATCATCCATCAATGGCTTCTCATTGCTACTGCCATTATTGTCGTTAAAATTCGATGATTGCAGTGTACCATTTCCCGTATGCTTTTCAATTCGCTCGAGGTATCGTAAAGAAGCTGTGCGCCATTCTTCTAACGATGGCTCGACTGCAAATAACTGTTGAATATACGAGGATGAGGATGATGTTGGTGACGACAACAATTTCATGATCCCTTCGATGTCTAATTCGTCAAGTGTCTTTTGAAGATGTTTGAGTCGTGAAAATAGAATATGTTCTTTTAGGATTGTTGCGGTTAATAATGTTATCAGATATTCGGTTATTTTGCTAATATTGTTGAAATTAAATTATTTGCATGATTAGAGACTGAAGATTTTAATTTAATCAGGTCAAGAAATTTTATTTTAACGATGTACCTTGCGTTATCATTATCATTATCCTCGTTAAGTGTATTCGTCCCGTTCTTTTCGTGCACGAAGAAACCTTTTAATAAAAGCTGCCAATTGGTCTATATATAGAAACAAATATATACGTTGACTAAATTGATTCGCAGAGATAAATGATTGTTAACATAAAGAAATCAAACCTTTGCAAGATCAACCAATAATCCATCTACAAAAAGTTTAAAATTGTTCACAGGCGTGGAAATCAATGCGCCGATTGCACGTCTCAATCGATCTTCTTTTAACGAAAATAAATCCAACGGACAATAATCGGTCACTACTGCGGTTGTTGTTGTTTTGTGTTTATAATACTGGTGCATGCAAAAACGACAGGTTTTGCGTTTGATCGAGTTTGACGCGGCAATGTGGGTTGATGTGGGAATGAACGCCCATTTTGGCTATAATGCAAGTAGACATTATTATCAATCTGCTAGTAATTATAAATTGATTTTTACCTTGATCTCAATAGATATCGTATTAGTCGGTGATTCTTGCTGTTTACTACTACTACTATTATTAGATTGAAATTTCGTGTAATCTGGAGAAAGAATCGCGTATCGTTGCTTGAGATCAATGTCTTTATTTACCCTATTTGACGAGCGGTGTGAAGATATCGATTTGGAGAGTTTTTGTAGGAAAGTAGGTGTTACTCGCAGTAGTGCCTGTTATTTTATATTTTGATGTTATTCAGTTATATCATCCATCAAACTTTTGAGAAAAATTCACAAACTAACTAACCAATTCACTTGTGTGTTCTGTACCGATCAAAGGAGCGATCACGTCCCGGACATAAAAAACTGTGAATGTTTGTGGGTCGATAGATGATGATTGTATCGAATTATCTTGTTGCTCGTCTTGTTTATTGCTAAAACCACCGCTATTATTATTAATGTTCAAGGCATCCTTCTTCTCTTCCTCGGATTTTCGTAATCGAAGAACAGTCAATTTCTTCCAGTAATCAATTAAGTTAGCTAAAACTCTCAGAACAGGTCAAATTCGAAAAAAAAATATACATACAAAATTATCGAGTTCCCCAATATACGTTAAAATGATATTCGAATTTCCTTCACCTTTATATTGCCACGAGCTAGGCTGATAAAGTTCGTCAGGGACCAAGTCTGGGCTAATAGTGGCACCACCGCTGTTATTCATTATGTGAGTGTGATGTTCCAAACGTGTCGTCGTACAGATACACGGACCTTAAATCAAATCAATTCAATCGATAACACTGTGACCATTTTGGGATTAAAATTAACAGCCAAAAGTTACACTTACTATTTTGGTGCTTTTGGACGTTCGATGAACGATAAAATCTTACGCGAATGATATATATACAATATAGTATGCTTTTTTTTATCGACAAAAAAATTTCGCTTACTATTTTTGGGTTTTAAACTAAAAATCCCACGCGAATGATATCGATATCATACAAAAACTTTTTTTATTAACGTTGATTATACTTTCCGGAGTTTTTTCATTTGTCGCCGTTTGTTCGTTTCATAAATAATAAATTTAAAGAATATACGGTTTAATTCACAGAAACAAATATAATAATGTCCAAGAAGATTTCGGTGTTTGTTTCGGGAGGATTCGAGCCTCTGGTAAAATAAAATATGATAGACCCATTAAATTGACAATAATAATAATTATTTGTATTTAATATTTCATTTCCTGATGATTGATAATAACTGTTATGATATTTCTAAATATATAAACAACAAGGCCAAAACAATTGTCAAAGAACTATACACTCGTCTCGACACCGACCTCATCGAACAAGTGCGCATTGGAATATTCGAAGGACAAATGCCGCTAGATATCGTGCGTGGTGGCGCACAAATTGCGCGAATTATCCCTTCGAAAAAAGAGACTATCGAATCAGCATTGAAGGGAATCGATGCGGCTTTTATTTGGCGTACAGAGAATGAAGATGAAAATTTGATCTTTCGATATATTGACGCTATTTTAGAACAAACTTATAGTGATAGTGAGCATAATGTGAAAAGATTGGTCGTTCTTTCTTCATACGACAGTTGTCCAAGTTTAGGAAAAGAGATTGAAGAGTATCTTGTCAATAAATCGTCATCTCCGTCCATTACTATTCTAAACGTACCGATTTTTGTTCGTCATTTCGAGTTGTACATCAATTCGATTGTCAATGAAAAAGTTTTGCAGCTTCCAATCGGAGTAGAAGGAAGATTTGCGCCATTGGATGATCGCGATTTTGCTACAGTTGTAGCTAATCTTTTACTGACAACTACGGCCACAAACCCGACGACGAATGGTACACACAGTCAAGAAACCACCAAGACCAATATCAAAACAATTACACTCACCGGCCCAAAGCTTTATACTGGGCCTGAGCTAGCAGAAAAATTATCGACCATACGAAAAGAAGAGATCAGTTTCAGCGGAACATCATTGAATGAAGCTGAAGTTTTTCTGTCAAATGTGCTGCCATCGAATTCCGAATCATTGATAAAGAGATATCAAGAATTGTATCGTGTTATTCGTGACGACGACATTGGCAACCATTATAATGATTACGATTTGAAAAAGTTGTTGGGCGACCAGCAACCGAGAGATGTAGATGCTTACTTTTCAGAAGTTTTTCCAAAGGAATCGGCACGATCTGTTATACAGCGTCGGGGATTTTAATTATAAGGTTTATTTATTTAATTGGTCTTTATTTTTATCATTTTGGGAAATTATCATTTTAAAAAATTATCATCTTAAAAAAAAATAACTACAAATATTATTATCCTATCTCATTACTGTTGTTGCAGGAACAATAGTATCTATTAACATTGATATTGGTGAATAAAGTTTACAATCGAATGATGAAATTTTCATTTATTATGAAAATGACAAGCATGAATTGATAATTCTTGGAATAATTAAAAATATGATTACAAAAAATAGAATTATTTAATAATAGTGTTAATGAAAATTTTATTATATTATATTCTTATTATTATTGGTTAATTATTATTGGTTGAATTATTTTATTACATTATTGATTATTTATAATATCATATATTTATTTATTTAAATATTTAAATATTTTTGTAACATATAATTTAAAATATAAAAGTGTTTTTATCTTTAAATTTGAAATAATATAATTTTGTTATTTTTTATATTATATATTTTTTATAATCTATTACAATGCTAATATAAGATAATAATGATAAAAGTATAATAATAAAGAAATTTTTGTTAATAAAGCTTAGCTTGAATCCTTAAATCTTATATTATTTAAAATCTTCACTTATTTTAAATTAATCTTTTATAACAAGTTATTATTTATATAATAAAAGATGTTTATTATAAAAGATTTTTTAAATTGTATGATTATATTATATAATAATAATGAAAATTATAATAGCAAATTTCATTTTAAAATTCTTTTTTTCAATATTTCAGATTTATTATGTTGTAAAAAATTTGAAACTTGTTTCTTTTGATGTGAAATTGTTTTTATTTAGCAAATCATAGCTAGAACTTTTAATTAATCCGTTCAGTTCAACTTGGTTTAAAGGACGATCTTTGAAAAAACTGAATCAAACCGTGATTTTCAGATCAATGAGAAACAAACTTGAGATATCATAAAATACCACTTCTAATACAAAAACCTATCATAAAAATAACAATAACAATTATTTCATCTTTCATATAAACACTACTCATACTGTTTCTAGATCACTAAATATGCAAATCACGGATAATTTTAATAATCATCTCTTGCCAAATTTATTGAATTCCTTTCAAACATAAAGGCATTCAGCTTCATAATCTGTGTGCATGTGCATGCACCTTTAAATAGTTCATTTATTCACATGTTAAAAATTTAGCCAATGATCTTAAATTTCATGCATATTTGTCAGTCTCGAGAATGAGAATGAGAATGCTAAAAAAATGGCTACACGTAAACTAGATGCCGGTTTACATCCCGAGTTTCATTATGAACAGAGACTATCACCCGTGCGTGCTCGAATACGTAGTTGGCTGTTGCCTATTATTAGGCGAGAGAAGGAGATTCTAGTTTTCATACAGGTAGGGAGCGAAATTATCTTGTGAAATTTGAAATAAATCAAAATGAAATTTGAGTGTTATAAATAAACTCTTGACCTATATACTTGTTAAATGTAGAGCTCTCTACGACACCCATTTCTTGATTGGTATTTTCCAATCACATCTAATCTTGGCACACATACATTTTACATGGTTTGTTTGCCATTATTATTTTGGTTCGGTTATGCACCGTTAGGACGCGGGTAAGGAGACTGACGAGACGTGAAAGATTAAAGAAAATAAAAAATCAATCAATTTGATCAGAAATTATTTAACAATAATAAAATTTTTAACAACAATAATAAAGACTGACATTAGTTGTAGCATCTGGTGTTTTTTGGACGGGATTTGTCAAGGTACTTTGTTGTCGATGTGACATTTAACAAAAATTTATTAAAACTATGCTAATTGAATAATTTTTAGGATATGCTATGTCTACCAAGACCATTGTCACCTCCAATTAACCGCATGACAATGTCTGGAACACATCACCTCGAGTACGGGTTTCCGTCAACACACACTGCTAATGCTATCTCAATCACGCTATACCTTCTCGCGTTCGTAACACAGATAAACGATATTGATCCGAATACGCGAAAATTTTGTATCGTGGCGTTGATTGTTTATTGTTCGAGTGTGGTGTTGGGACGGATTTATTGTGGGATGCATTCGATTACCGGTAAGTATATTTCAAATTAATTTATTTATATGAAATTTCTATAATTAATGTATTATTTTTATTTATGATGATAGATTTGATAGGCGGTACTATCATGGGTGCATTTTTGTGGTGGTTTCAATGGAATTGGCAAAGTGATATTGATGCATTTATACTGAGTGATAGTTGGTTTGGTAACTAATTTATTACTGCATTGTCTATATTATATATAACTTATTTGAGTTAATGAATTTATAATAACAAAATAGTACCAATGGCTATACTATCAGCTACTGTACTCTTAATTTATATCTTCCCGGAACCCGTTGATAATTGTCCATGTTTCGAGGATTGGTAAATAAAATGATAAGTTTTTTAATATCAAATTACAGTCAAAACTGGTTATAAAATGAAGGGCAATTATAACGAAGTTTGAATTTTGCAATAATTTAATAGTTCGCTATAAAAAGTATACTAAATCTTTACATAACGAAGATTCCAAAAATTTTTACTAATTATCCGGCCACCTTCGTTATATCCAGTTTTGACTATACACGTCGTATTGCGCAATATATAACGCTTCTTAATGTATCACAATTAACACTATTGCATCATCTTTTTTATAGTGTTGCATTCGCTGGTGTGATAATGGGATTATTACCCGGATGTTGGCGATACGCGCGATCAAAATACAGTTTACCTGGTATTGATCGAGCAAATGTTCCATACGATTATCAGATAATAGGGTTACCTAAATCTCTGGGAAGGCTTGTAATCGGTAGGATTTGTATAGTTATTCTCGCATGAATCTTTGTATGAAACATTTGTAAATTTTTTCATTTTGTGACTAAGGAGTGGCCATACTCTTTATATGGCGGATGGTAATGAAGAAGATTCTATACATGACTCTACCGCCATTTTATCGCGCACTGAATTTAAATATTTATCGAAAAGATTACTTACCTGCAAAGTAAGAATGCTATATTTCTTTTGAACTTTTTTTATATTCATTCTGAATATTTATAAGAAATTGTTTGAATCATAATTAACTATAATAGAGACTACAAAAATCTTTCGCCATATTCAATCCGTGCTTTCCCATCTGTGCTTAATCTTCTCCAAGCGCCAATTCACTCAACGGGACCTCAATCGACGGCTGATTTGTACGAACAATTAGACGCCGAAAAAGAAAATGAGCGAGGTTTGATAGCACGGAGACGTGTGAATGGATCTTTTGCGCATGATAATCATAATCTCGATCAGCATGATAATAAAAATAATTCTGAAAAGGTTAATCTTGGCAACAATAATATAAAAAATGGAAATGTGAGGGAATCGAGTATTATTGATAACAACGACAGTGACGAAGAAAATAAAAATGATGAGAATTTTGAGGACAATAAACATAAAAATGAAAAAAAGAATATTGTGTCGTTTGATGCTATTGAAGAACCACCATTGAGATATGACGTCGATGTGGTTGTAAAATTGGTGGTTTATGCTGGTAAGAACCTTTGTCTTGTTTTTTATTTTCTTTATTTTGTATAATTTCAAATTAAATTTTATTTAGGGATTGGATGGTTAGCTGTTGATTTAATACCCGTATTCTTTGAACTCAGTGGACTCGGTGTCAACATTGTTGCACGGAATCAGATTGTAAAGAACTAATTTGTTTAAATAGATTGAACGTAAAGATTATTATCATCTTTTACGAAACAAAATTACTATATAGATAACAAATAAATCGAAATCTATTATTTTTCCAAAGTGATCAAGAAACGAAACCAATGAAATGATTTGATTGCTTCTTAATTAGCTATAGGATTTGTGAAATATGCATCAATTGTGTTATTGTATCAATTTACAAGTTTAAATGAGTAAAGATCCTTCGGAATTATCGCAGAATAATAATGTTTGAAATCGTCTGCCTTTTCTAGAGATTCGTATGTTTAGTCATTTCCAGGAACGAATAGTTTTGTGAAGCTGGTAGATTCATTCTTGTTTCTAGGGGAATTTTCCTACTGTTTTTAATATTAATTCACCAAACCGTGAAGTTTCACAAGATTACCCAGTCCCAAATTTAGGGAGGGATTCCACCAGACCGTGAAGTTTCACAAGATTATCCAGCCCCAAGATTAGGGAGGGATTCCACCAGACCGTGAAGTTTCACAAGATTACCCAGCCCCAAGATTAGGGAGGGATTCCACCAGACCGTGAAGTTTCACAAGATTACCCAGTCCCAAGATTAGGGAAGGATTCTTTTCTTTATTCCATCCTAGCTCATCGAACTTTGTCGAGATCTTCGCTGTTAGAACGTCTACTCCATCAGAATTATTAAAAATAGTTGAATATGTAAATTGTCGAGACAAAAACCTTGTCGTATCATGGAAATCGATAGATATTAAGAGTTTTTTTAAAGGTAGAACGATACGCGGATCTTGATAGACGAACTTTACGTCCATTAATTCCCCAGGACCGTGAAGTTTCACAAGATTACCCAGTCCATTTTTTTAAATTCCATTCTGCGTGGAGGTTAACGATACGTGGATCTTGATAGACAAACTTTACGTCCATTAATTCATCAGGACCGTGAAGTTTCACAAGATTACCCGGTCCATTTTTTTAATTCCATTCTACGTGAGGTTAACTTCGTCGATTATACTTAGTCCTTGATAAACTTTATCCATATTAATTACCAAGACCGAAGTTTCATAAGATTATCCAGTCCGAGATTAGGGAGACAGAAATTCTTTTTCAATTCTACATTTTTACTCCACCACCATGAAGTTTCACAAGATTACCCAGACCTAACTGGGTTCTTTCCTTTTAGGAGATTGAACCAAATATAATATACTGCCATTATTTAGGAGCTCCAATTATTATTTAATAGAGACCAAATCCGAATATAAAACTGGAAGAGAATCGAGATTTTTTCTAAATCTTTGCAAAAACCATTCTTTTGTCTTCGGGTTTGTCGATTCTTCAGTCAATCCTTCAATGTTTTGATGACATCAATGTCATACCAAGCGTATTGGAATTATCGTTTTCGATGTATTTGACTGGGATGCGAGAATTTGCTTCTTATCCATAATTTTGAATAGTTCATATATAATTCACGAAGTAGTTAATACATATCACACGTTTAAAAAATCGTGCAATCTTTGAAAAAATCCGATGTTATTAAGGACTATTATCCTGTCGAGTTTAATATTTGTTGATGAATTTTAGTGGGAATATTACCATTTTTAAGTTAGGGAAAATAATGTTCCAGATAGGGCTCCAATGTCGGTTAACGAGTGCGGTGTGTTTGTTGTCGATAATATCATTTCTATGTTCCAACGTACTAACTAACTTTTGAGCCCTAGTTTGATGATAATACCATTACTGAATTCCTTGGTAATTTTCAATAACCATGTAATTAATGTTTACTGGTTCTTCATTGCCCGCTTACAAGCTTTCTTAGACGCTTACGATATCACGGCCAAAACCCGACCGCCAACTGGCAAACGCAAATTAACGCCGCGGCGGATAACGTAAACCCCGTCCGTAGTATATCATAGCGATAGGTCGTGATACGAGTTTGACCCCAATCATAAAACAAAGGTAAACGTAGATGTCTGCAATTGGTTAGATGTAACGATAGAATATATTAGTGCGGGAGATGGGTCATATGGCAGCACATCAAAGATGGTGGAGCATCACTAATATTATATGTGGGAAAAACAGATTATGGTAAAAATTTTGGCCAAAATTGTGCAGATCATGAGATCATTTGGCTAGAATTATCGATAATTTCTTATAATAAAAGAGCAATATATTGTTATATACTATATTTTCTCAGAATTTTCTTTTATATTCTCCTTTACATCATTTTCATTATTATCAAGATTTTTCTTGATAAGTATCATTAAGTATAAGTTAAGCATAAAAAAAAATTGTTTGTAATAATTAAAGCTAATTTTTGGTATTGATTATTGTTTTTTTATAACTAAAAATAAAATAATTATAACTAAATAAAATAAATATGTTTGATTTTTTGGTTATATAAGTTCAAACATTTGTATAAACTACTTATATTTTGAGTATAAAAAATATTCTGAATATAAAAATGCTCTAAGTTTATTTAGTTAGTTGGTTAATTTATTAGCTTGCTCAAAGTACACTCAAAAATATTTTTCATTCTGAATAAATGACTTATAAATATTACTGTATCAGAAAAAAATTATATTGTTATAAATGAGTTTTTAGAGAATTTAGTACTAAATTAATATTGTTATGATATAAACTTATATTATATTAATTATCTTATATTTTATTAAACAATTCATATTATAATATTATTGGATAATATTTATTAATATCTTATTGAACACTAGCTAAAAGAGATTTTATTTGTTAATATTAAATGGTAAAACAAGCAATATGATCATAACAAAGTTATCAAAATAATCTAAACTAAATTAATAATAAGATCCTAACTAAACTAGCAATTTGATTATAATTAAATCTCTCTATAGTCATCACCCTTAGAAAAGCAAAATTTGGTAACTATAGAGAGATTTTTTTTACTATATTTATATATAAATTGAAAGCAAAATAGAATGATTATAGAGGGGTGTGACTATAAATGGATGTGACTATAGAGAGATTTGATTGTATAGCAAAAATAACAATATAATACTAGCAAAACAAGAGAAGTAAGAGAAATTGCATTGTGAAAGAAATATTTATATGCTAATATGTATTTGAATTAGATTTCAGATCAAAATTTTGAATTAGTATTAGTTCAGATTTTAAATCAGTGTTAATTTAAAGATTCTTATATAGAATAATTGGAATAGATATCACATTGATTAGTGTTCCTATGAACCGAACCGAACCGGACTTTTGCCCGAGTTCGAGTTCGGTTCGAAATTCGAACCGAACTCGAA